ATTAGCAGCAATGATTTAAGCGGCAGCTATTTCGAATTGCAGCAGCTTGCAAAGTCTTATCCTAGAGGAAAAATTATTCAGCAGCAGGCTCCTGGACTCCATCGGAAATCTGACCAACCTCAGAATATTGAATCTGCATAATAATAGAGTCGAAGGAATTCTACCTTGGAGCATAGGCAACTTGGTTCACCTTAAGGAAGTAACTTATTCACAGACTCATTACCGAGTAGTATGCAAAGGATGGGTTGGCTTCAGTTCTTTTCAGGAAGGGGGAACAGTTACAAGGGTCATATCCCCCAACCTGACAAATTTTCACCAGCTTTCCTTGTCGGATAATTATTTTACAGAAAGAATACCTCCAGAGCTTGGGAATCTCAACAGCTTTAAAACCGACCTGCAAGTCACCTATTGGACAGAGACCCGGACCTGGTTGATGCTTTAAACCTTTCCTGATAGACTGACATGTGAGCCTCAACACTTACCCGTTGACGATAAGAATCAGTGGCAACAGTCAGCTCAATGGTTCCATTCCAAGGAGCTTGGGGATCTCAAGTATTTGCAGTATGAGTGGGAGTAATCTGAGTGGAACTATTCCGGCTTCTCTTGCCAGTGCAACACAACTCCTTATACTCAAGCTTCAAGAGAACCGACTTATGGGTAGCATTCCAAAGCAGCTTGGAAGTTTATCATTCCTCATGTTCTTCAATATTTCAAACAACAATCTCAGTGGGCCAATTCCAACAACAGGACAGTTTTTGACTTTGGACAGCTCAAGTTTCGCTGGCAACCCAGGGTTATGTGGTCCTCCTCTCAACACCACATGCAACATTCCATCCGCAGCCAAACCACCACCAGCAATGACTGTGGACAAGCATTCAAGTGTATCATCTTATAATGGTCTAGCTGTTGGTGTCAGTGTGGCAATTGGTTTCGCAGTTGGGTTTTGGGGAATGGTGTTTCTGCTTCCTGAGTGATATATCACCTGTTTGCACAACTTCTATAATGGTTATTAAGGATAGTTATCGAAGATAATTTTTAATAAGTATTACAATATAAGCTTGTACTAAGCAATTTCAGTGATCGCTGCAGATGCCCGTAGTGGGCATACGCAGGAAAAAGGATGTTAGCATGCTAATCGAACATGATTCTTCAAATGCTGGCTCTTGCTATGAGGGCTGTCATGGGCTTCTCAGTCGAGATTCTTCCAATTCTGGTGATTTGCGACTTCGGCATTCACGATGGCAAGCTGCAGCAGCGACCGAAGCCCCCATGGAACTTGGATGCGCCAAGCAGTGAGATCCAAGCTTCAGTCTGCGGTTCCTAGGGCACCTCCGCATCATTCACAATCCCCAATCGCCCAAGAAGATCCCAGATGAAATGCTTCTCGGAAGGCACCAAAATGTATCGCTCGAGATTGAAGTAAAATACTGGCCGCCATGGACACCTTCAACCGGTTAAATGCCCTGCAAGATCATCAACCGGAAGAACCCTAGCTTGGGATTCCTGCTCGCTGTGGCAGTAAGCCCCAAGCATCGAGCTCCACAGCATCACATTCTTCACGCGGTCCTTGCATCCTCAGGACTTCCACACTTGCCGTACATGTTCACCAGCGCATTCCCGAGCATCGGATCGAGCTCAATTTTAATCCTGGAGGATGTGTAGGACTGCAAATTCTTCCCAGACGGTAGCGATGTAATTGCTGCACAGGCTTGAAGCAGCACATTGAAAATCGCAGAATCTGGCTGCGTACATCACAGGGAGCAGCTCAAGAGCTTCTTTGTGATGCCAAGCTTGGGAATACGCCCAGATGATGGCATTCCAAGCGGTTGGATCCTTCAGGGGCATCTGGTCGAAGATCTTGATGGATTGCTGCAGATGCCCCCTCTTGGACGTGCAGAAACCATGATTGTTGAAACTACCATGCCTTACTGTCTTTAAAGCTTGCCAAAGTTTAAAGCCAAACTATATAAATGCTCTTTCAATTATAATGTTTGTTCATTTTCTTGATTTTCTTCTCCTTAATTTCATTTTTTTTTTGAATGAAATATGTAAATGATGCTCAAGATAGTGTTTATTTTCTTCATGAGTTTTTTGAGAAGACATCTATACTTACAAATACTTATTGGTTGTATGTTGATTTTGGTTTTTTATTAAAAAGAAGACCATGTGTGCATTGTGGTCAAATAATACGGTTACATACAAATAGAAAAAGTTGTAAAGATATGGGATCAAGTAAAAATATATATAGGCATTATAATAAAACTTATTCTTTATAAACATGTATATAGTTTGTAAAGTTTAACCTTACCTTCACACAGATAATACATGTGATGTATTGTTGGTCAATTAGAATGCTAATAGTACAAGCACAAATTGAATGCAATATTAGGGGATCACAAATAATCATATATTAGTACAATCTTTATCAAGATATTTGTATAGAAGTTTAAAAAGGAGAAATCAAAAGATTGAAGGTCTTAGTAACATTATAGAGATTAATGAAGTGAAGTTTAGTAAACATAAGTATAATATTGGTCGTCAAGTACATAGTCAATGGGTATTTAGAGGTATTAAATATAATTTAAATTGTATATTTTAGTTCCTATAGAAAATTGTAATTAGGAAACTTTAATTAACATTTTGTAGGAGTATGTTAAACTAGGTATCACAATTTATAATAATCATTGGGCAGGTTACAATATAGCATAGTGAAATTAATTAGGCTATCAATATCCTTTGATAAATCACTCTCAACATTTTGTTAATATAGTTACAAGTGTATATAGAAATTAAATTGAATTGATATAGACAATTTTACCAAGACATAGTACAAGAAAACAATTATAAAAGAGTTATTTTCAAGAGTATATATGGCATAAAAGGTAATTATTATTTTTAATTTAATTACTTTACTAACTATTTTTATGTTTAATTTAGGTATATAGTAGGAAAGGAAGTTTCTTTTAATATTTTCTGCAAGCATGTAAAAATGTATAATGGGAAAGTGCCTCTACTTTATAATAATAATAAGAATTTAATTTTTTTCCCTTTGCATTATATGTTAACGTAAACCCAATTTATGCATAGCATGCATGAGTTAGGCAACTCCACTAAATTAGCCCTAAATTGGCTCTTCCCCCTTTTTTTATACTTGACTCTATAAAATTTTGCATTCTTTATTTTCTACTAGTTGCAACTTTATTGACAACTTTTGAACTTCTGAAGCATCAACAATGCTGATTAATGCTATCTTCTTGCTTGAACACAAAAACTTTACACTCACAATCATCATTTAATTATACATGAGAAAAAATGTAAAATGAAGTAATGGTTCTTCTCGGACATATGTCATGTTGAGCATAATACAACCTTGGATCTAATTGGTGTTCCTAATCACAAGCACAGAATATTATTATTTCCAATTGCACTAGCTTATAAACTATTAATTATGATATTTGTAAACTACTTTGTATGTATAAAAAGATAGATCTGTACCTACTAGGATATTTTACACCACTTGCTTCTCAACAATTATAAAACATATCAATTCTAAATTCTAACCACTTAACTAAATTGATTTATATGCCTTTGCTTCTGCAACTCCCTTGACCTCCAGTGAAGCATTGCAAGACTTGATTGTAGGTCATAGATGTAGCATATATAATCATGGGATAAAATTTAAATATATTATCACTATAGATTCTTAGAACCTTGGGGGATAAATGGAAATAAAATAGTCATTAAAAGCTCTTTCATTAAGTAATTGCTTCTTTTTTAGTTGGCTTAAAGGGAGAGAGATATGGTGTATTACATATGGTATTAGAGCAAATAACACGGATCTAAATTTTATTGATTAGTGGCTACTTAAAAAATATAATATACCCTTGGAAGGATTGGTAGATTTTATATGAAAATGGAATAATTGTGTAGATTGATAGATTTTGTGTAGAAATAAAATAGTTAATTTACACAACATAAGGATTGATAGATTTTGTCTGGAAATGGAGTCCTCTTGATTAGTTGCTACTTAAAAAATATAATATACCCTTGGAAGGATTGGTAAATTTTGTGCGAAAATGGAATATTTATGTAGATTAGTAGATTTTGTACAAAAATAAAATAATTAGTTTACACAATGGAAGGATTGATAGATTTTATTTGGAATGGAATCCTCAATAGTCAATGAGGATATTGACATTTTGAGGGGGGGCGGGGATTAACCTAGCTAAGTAGGTAGTCAATGGTCAATGAGGACATTGACATTTTTGAAAGGGGGTGAGTGTAAGCTAGGTCAATAGGAATTGTCAATTAATAATTAATGAAGACATTGACGTTTATTTTGGCCGAGAGGGTTGGGTTGTTGTTATTAGTCAATAGTCAATAAAGGTGGGTGGGGGGTTGTTGCTAGTCAACAAATAATGAGGATATTGACATTTTTTAGGGGGGCTGATAAACTTTTAGATTTGGACTTTTTGGGAGGTCATTTAATTTAATACTATTTAAACCCAAGAACATTTAACCTCAAATATCCTAAAACCCTTAACTAATTGGAAAAAAAAGATGCACTCTTATTCATAGACCCTTTTCCTTTATATTTAAACCTCATAGATTATCACTCAAGTTATTCCTTCTGGTTGCTTACAAGGGTGGGAGGGGGTATTATTAATCAACAAATAATAAAGTTATTAATATTTTTGAACATGGTCTTGCTATAGCAATTCTCTAACATTGCCTACCTCTATTCAATGTATCTAAACTATTTTGAAAGTAGCCTCAAGAATTAAAGGTATGATTCATCAGTTCTATTCTATTTCCATATAATACAAAATTTTATTATAATCAA